CAGGACTCTGGAAAGATGGCACAATTTTTCCCTAAATAATGTCCCTATTGTTACCGTCAACCATTCAGGTTGCCTGGCCAGTGTGGGCCTAGGTGGTATTATCCTGCCTTGATATAAATCACTTCTGAAGAGCAGATAGCAGGAAGTGTTGCTGGAGGATTTCTGTTTGGGACCATGGATCTGTGGTCACTCAAGTTTCTGACTTATTGCCCACATACATTACATTGATGGGAGAGATGAACCAGATGCACAATGTCACCAATATGCACACAGGTCTCTCTCTCTCTCTTTCCTTTCCACCAAAATCCAGGGAGATGGTAGGAATTCTTAATTAACACTTGAAGGCAGTGAAGTACTAGATGTGGATGACTACACTGCACTTAAGCCGGACAAGATAAGGGTTCATAATAAGGCTGATCCAGGAATAGACGTACAGTCTATTACATTCCCCCATGTAGGAGCTGGTGGACAGGCTAAGGGTGTTGGTGGAGAAGCACGTAGCACAGGTTGCAAGGAATGTGTTTTTCCGGCTTAGGCTGGTTTGCCAGCTACAGTCATTCCAGTCAAAAGCTGATTTGGCCTCACAATATCCTAGGCTATTGTATCACATTCTACATGGGTTTCCCTTGAGGACAGTTTAGAAATTTTACCTGGTGCAAAATATGGCAGCTAGGGTTCTTCCTGAAATTAACACATAAAACCTATACTACTTCAACAGCACTGGCTTCCAGTTTGCTGGTTCAAGATGCTTGTTGTGACCTTTAAAGCCCTAAAGGGCTTGGGCCCACGGTACTTGAAGTAACACCTTTTCCCATACCAAATTGCCTGAGTTTTAAGATGATTCATTAAGCAAAGAATGAAGTCTCCCTACATGAACCTGCCATGTTAGAAATGAGGCTGGCAAAGGAAGGGCCTTTTCAGCAGTTGCCCCCAGACTGTGGAACTCCCTCCAGCAGAAAGTTAATGCTATCTCTAGAGAAACATTAAAAAAACTTCTTGTTCTAGCGGGTCTTTGATGTTACTAGTTGTTGATGACAGTTTCTCCTTTTACTATATATATGCCTGCTGCATTTTCAATCCATCTTCACCCAAGGAGCTCATGGCAGCATATATTGCTCTCTTTCCAGCATTTTACTTTTACAACAACCTTATGAGGTAGGCTGGGTTGAAGGAGAGCAACTGGTTCAAGGTTACCCAGTAAGCTTCATGGCAGGATGGAGATTTGAACCTGTGTTTTCCAACTCCTCTGCATAGTGCATTGGTTTGGCGGCTTTGACACAATCAGGTTGTAGTAGTGGCAGCAGTAATAGTCTGTTAACAGACCCAACAGCTCAGCCTGATCTTCCCAGATCTTGGAAGCTAACCATGATTGGTAGGAGGGCTGCTAACAGTCCACAATACAATCAACTTCAGTCTTATTACATAAGAGCAACGTTACATGAATGCAATGGTTCTACCTTTGTCAAAATTCAGAGACCCATAGTCCTCAGAAATTTAGGTAAACTATTTGGTTTGTTGCATACAACAGACGTGCCTGTGCTTCAGGACTACATAAGAGCAACGTTACATGAATGCAATGTTTCTACCTTTGACAAAATTCAGAGACCCATAATCCTCAGAAATTTAGGTAAACTACTTGTTTGTTGCATACAACAGACCTGCCTGTGCTTCAGGACTTAAAGGAGACTATTCTATTTTTCTATTCCAAAGAATTTGTGAGCGGAGTCAGTACTGCACAGAATACCCCAGGTCTATTACTAAGATTAATGTAAACGCGAAAAAGCCCTCATGCACTGAAACGGTGGGACAGTCCATTTTCATACCACCATCATCCCGCAACGAACATGAAATTGAGCCAACTTCAGAGGACGGCGGAAGACAGGAAGGCCTGGCGTGATCTGGTCCATGAGGTCGCGAAGAGTCGGACTCGACTGTGCGACTGAACAACAAATCATCCGATGGTAGGGACCAAAAAAGGGATTGCTGTTGGCCAAAGGATATTTCGAATTGCTCAGCCCATATCACACGCGCAATTGAATGCCACTTCTTATTCTAGCAAAGATCATAAAACCACAGCCATTAAACTACGTATTTATCAAATACTAGTTAATCCTGGACACTGCCTTCAGCACAATGGAATCCATGTATTTACTTCTGCGAATAACTCCCCCCCCCAACCTAAAAGTTCGCCCTTCGATTATTTTATAGTCGCCGCCCCTCCCTTGCAATCCGCTTCGTTTGAATAGTCCGGAGGTAAATCCCTCCCCCATTGGCCCCACCCTTCACAATGCACATTCTTTAGACTGCGGTCGGACAACCTCGCTAGTCTAAATATAGAACTCCCACCCCTCATCACCCTGCCAGGAACCTGGTCCTCCCAAAAGGGTGGCACTAGAACCCTTCTATTAACCAATCAGACAAGCGATAGAAACGTACGGCTTCCACCCGAGAGTTTTGCGTACAAGGAGGCGGGAATGTATGAGAGTCTCGTCACGAATCGAAGACCAATGCGGGCCGTGCCGTGCCGGTGGAACCAATGAGTGAGGGGCAGTCGCTTTGGCGGCCAATGGTATGCCAGATCGCAGAGGCGCTGTAAGAGCTACTGCCGTCAGGGGAGGGGGGCGGAGGAGGCGACACCGGGTCTGGCAGGGGAGGGGGGGATTGGGCCTGGCTGGGCCCAGCCGGAGCCTCCTGCCGCCTGGACCGACCGAGGGGGGAGAGCGCCCCCTCCCCGCGGGCCGAGCCCAAGCCCGGCCCCGCCTGGCCATGGGCAACGCGGCCACGGCCAAGAAGGGCGGTGAGATCGAGAGCGGTGAGTGTGGGGCAGGAAAAAGCGAAAGCCGGCTTTGGGAAGCGGTGGGTGCTGCTGAGGGAAGCGCGGGCCGGACCGTCCTCCCTGTGAGGGTTTGGGCACCTGAGAAGCAGGAAGTGGGGTGGAGGGTGCCAGGCTCAGCCGGACCAGGAGCCACTGAAAGGAAAGGGGTGGCTGGCAGGTGGCTGCTCGCATCTGTGCTTCACCCTTTTTGGGTTCTTAGTCAGGCCCCTTTTGTGTAAACCTGTGTTCCTTTCAACAGGGAATGGGAGTTTGTGGGCTGCCAAGGGCACCTGGGTGGCCGGTGAGAGAATGCTGGTCTGCAGGGACCTTTGCGGGCAGAACCTAGCAGAGTTTTTCTTGTGTTTTTGTGCTTTCCTCCGTCTGTTTCTTCCAGGAAAGCGCTGGTGCAGCGTTGCCACATGGAATCACCCTACTGAGCTTTGCCTTATAATCTGTCACCGTTGCCTTGCTCTATCTAGCCCATTTCCTTTTGATGTTTTGCCTGATGGTGTGTTTTAACTGAGATAATTGCTTGCAGTTTGTCTCCTGTGTGCTCCTGAATTTTTTTGCTATCTGTCTTTTTTTCTTAAGGTGTTGTATTCAGTCCTTCTCATCTGGTCACATCTGCACTTCAAACCTATCAGTGGTGTTTCTTTAATCATATCTATTTGGTAGCTCTTCTGCTCAGACAGGTTGACCGGTTTCAAATCTTTAAAACCAGCATTTTTTCTTTTACAGTACCTTCAGCTTCTGTGTGAGATTATTTAGTTTTCTGTTTCAGGTACCGAATATGCACTAACGCTAACGTCTTTTGCTATTACTTTTAGGCAGGCATGACAGGTTCGTGGTCATAGACAGCTGGCCCTGTTAAGCACAAATGAAGGCTACTTAATTCAGGAGAGACAGAACGGAGGAAAGCTGCAGAACGGAACTGGTCAGGCAGGAAGGAAGGTGGTCATCCAATGGAGATACTATAAACAGAGCAGAAAGTATTACATAGCTTACTGAAATGTGGAGGCAAAGAGTTCTGCTTGGACTGCCTTATTGGAAGTGGAAGGGAGGATCTCATACGCATCAACCAACTTTTGCAGGACAGCCAGATTGCTGATGTTGGAAAAGAACTTTATGAGAAAGATTGAAAACTCCCCCCCCCCCTTTCACCTTGGGGAACTTGTGGCATGCTCTGGCATCCGTCCATCACATAATTTATTGCCCATTTCAAACAATGGTGGTTCTTAATCCTTAGGGCTGTCGTCCAGTTAGCCTTCGTTTATTATCTGTCACCTCTCATCTGAGTAATGGGTGTATAAAGCTTGGTTTCTCATAGATGATTCAGGCTGCCTGTTTTTAGTAAATTACACATCCCCTTTGGTAAGTTTGGCCTGGGTGTTCGTAAAAATGGGAAACAAAGATTTGGAGGAGGAGGAAGAATGTGTATACAATAGAGTAGGATGCCTGCAGCAGTGCAGTTCAGTCCACGTCTTTTGTTCTGTGCTTTATATTTCACAATAATGGCCCAAAGGAAGATTGGGGGAGGGGAGAAATTATAAGTATATGGGTGTCAACATTGCAAAGCAAGAGCTAGTGCTCACCACACATGACATCTTAACCTTCTGGATCTCCTCTGCTGGAATAAGGAGACCCCGGCTGTGCTGTCAGCTCCTAGTGTACATTGACTAGTCCTTTCTTCAGCATGCCATCCCTTCTGACAACTGTAGGTAGAAACCAGGAACTGACACTTCCTGTCTATGACTAGGTGTTATTCCCTACCTCACGTTAGCATCTATTTGCACTACAGTCAGAATCACCTTGTGATTTGGTCCACTGACACGGAGGCATCCCTTTTTCAAATAGCTGGATAGCAGTATTTATCTATGGGTTGTGTGCCTAATGCTCCCTATGCAAAAGAAAATGGACTTACTCAAAGTGTTATCCTTCCTTTTTAAGGTACTTGTGATACCTATTATCAGGGTTTTGGAATACCTAACAGTCTTTAATGTGTTTATTGGTCCATCCATCCAGTACCTCCTTCACTGTCACAGCTGTTTTTTTTAACTTCTTGGGTATCATACTCCCGAATCGTGATAGCCTTATTAACTACAAAGCAAGATTGTTATAAGCATAGTAAGACAGTTCAAATTCTGTATTCCAATAAATGTATATGAGTCAATTTATACAGATGTGCTTGTTTGTTTGTTTTACCCAGTATTATGCTTTTGGGGGAATTTGAAGCTTTTTAGAGATTGGAAGCATAGGGGGGAGTGAGGGGCTAAATGGACATGTGGTTGAAAATGGCAAGGGATAGATAATTAGGGCTGTAAAGTAGATAGGACATAGATGCTATATACACATGAATGCTGATTCCTGTTCAAGAAGACTGAGCTGATGGTTCTGAGTACTGTGAGAGCCTGAAGTTCAATTATATTTTAGAAAGTGATTTTGTTTTCAGTTACGCTAACACTGCACTAAATTCCAAATTCTGTGCAAATATTTGCATGTCTACGATCTCAAAACATGAGTATTCCTGCTCTAATTATGTACAAGATTTGTTAGCACAGGACATGAGAAGTCGAGACACATGCTTTCCTTTATTGTTGCATTGATTGAATTTGGTACAACATTCAAAGCTACGTTTCCTGTCTTTCATAACCAAAGATGTTTTGGCAGATAGTAGCTATACAATATTATCAAAGGTATTGCCTCGAGTATAAATGAATAATCAAGAGTATGCAGATTTGAATAAGCTGAGTGACAGTGTGGGTATCACTGTCAGAGGTTAGATTGCAGATGTCAGGACACAATGGTGTCTGCAGCTATCTGCTTGTATACATCAGCTTCTTCACAGATTAAGTCCTGTTGTGTTCTTTCTAGACTATCTGAGCATCATGAGTAGAAGAAATAGAATCAGAACTGTGCTACTGCTGCAGAGTCTTTGCAAATATACTGTCTGATTTACAGAGAGTCTGTGCTGATTATCACTGCCCCCCCCCCCAAATTTTGGCAAAATTAATAAGGACAAAAAGCACCACTTTAATTAAACAGATAATATAGGTGATGCTGTTTATGTTTTGGGATAAAGCATAATTTCAATACTGTTATGATGAAATGGGACATCTAGGTGATGGTAGCTTGGCTGCCAGGCTGTTCTGTGTAAAATGCCAAGCATGGACTCCTCTTGAAAATAGATTGCAAAGGTAAGCTTTGTTCCTGTTCTTGTGAACTCAAAAGGTATCTAACACAATATATGCAATTGTATGTGTATATGAATGATAGACTTTTTGCATAATTGTGGATCTCCTTCATTGAGAGCTTTAAAGCAGAAACTGGATAAACATCTGTTGGCATGATTAATATTTATTATGTTCTGCCACAGTGGATGGAGGTCCTTTGCAGCTCTCTAAATGTCTGCTTAAAGCAAAAAAATTGGTACAAACTAATGTGCAAGTGCTAACAGTGCCATCCTAAACAAAGTGATACCATTCTTAGGCCACTGAAGCCGACCATCTTAGAAGGGTGCAACTCTAATTTATGAATTTCCTGCTGTTGTCTAGCTTGGCCTTGAAAAACATTGCCTGGACAGTTGTTGTACAGACCATGGTAAACTGAGCTGATTGGACGTGATGCCCTAAAGAGGAGGGTGGTGTATGCTACATGATTTTCCTTTAAAATTCTGTAAAATAATCCACATTCTATAACAAAAACAGCTACAGTTTGTATAAATGAACATTTGACTTTGTCTTATTTTGTTCTGCAAGTCCTATGGAAGGACAAAATATTACACAGAGCACTATGTCTTCTGCCCCTGGTCAGCTTGTGTCATCCTTTGCTTTCTAAGATTTCCCCAAGGTCTTGCCACCCCACACAAGTTTTCATTTGCAACCTCAAGGCCTAGAAAGCCTGATTTTTAAAAAAGGAAGCTGATCTCAAGCCATTCAATTTTGCACCTGAAAATCAGTTTCTTTTATATTCACATAATTCTGCCTATAAGCAGCAGAGTAAGCCAACCAACTCAAACAGTTGTACAAGCCCATTTTAAAAGCCACATACTACCTACTACTCATTGTATTTGACTACAAATACATTGTATTTGACTAGTGCAGTAGTTCACATCCAACTGGCATTGGTAATGTAGTTGATTTATCTCATTTCACAAATATATGAGTGGCTTTATCCAGTTTGTCCATGATTTCACAGCTGAGTATAAAGCTTGAGGGGGTCCAGATTTCTCTCCCATTGGCAGTCTTGTCAGCAAACACTGAGGCATTTTGTTGCTATTCTATTACAAATGCAACTTCTACAGAGGCCATAGTTTGGGAGAAGAATGAGAACATGTTGAGTTCCTAGAAGAAGACAAACATTTAGAATGTACTTTGTTCCTGTGTGTAGGACAAGCAACAAAAAGAACCTCCTGGAGTTGAGGAGAGTATTGGAAATAGACTATGACTCTAAGTAAAAGGTCTTGGAAGATGTAGAGAAGATATGTGTATGAAACAGAATTTATTTCCCTCACCATCTGTGTTTCCAAAGTTATGAACAGGATTTAAGAGTTCTAGGCTGTGGTCACACACACACACTAAATAATCCACTTTCAATCCACTTTCAGTGTACTTTCCAACTGGATTTTACTCTGTGAACTGGCAAAATCCAGTTGGAAAGTGCATTGAAAGTGGATTATTTAGTGTGTGTGACCACAGCCCTACCTGTTCTCATCAGTAGGCTCCAGCAGTTACGTAACAGAATTTGTCTTCAGGAAAGGATCTGCTTGGGTTCCAGAAGTTACAGGGGTCTTGGGCTGGTAAATCAAAAGTGCAAGTAGACAAATGAAGATAGAAAACAGAAGATTTGAGTACTCTTAAATACCAGGATGAAATAGGTAGTTAGATTTTTGGCAGGTCTGGAAATCTCTAGGGATGGGTCAAATTTACAGGGTTTGAAGGTGTGTATAAAGCTTCAAAAGTATTATGTTCTGCCCTGCCCTGACCTGGATAGCCCAGGCA